CCTGAAATCACCAAAGTACTAATACAAAAGCCCCAGAGTGCAGTATTGTCAAATCCTGATCCATGGAAGCGTCGCTGCCTTCCACCAGGGTACGGGAAAGATCCAGATCCTCGAAGTACAAAAGCACTTCAAACTGCAATCAACCATTGTTTGAAGGAAATACGAAAAGAATTTGATAGTGTGGTAAGTGGCTCTTTTTTTTCTTCTGATTTTTTTCAAGCTCCTTTGTCAAGACCTTGCCTTTGTCCAGCTCCTTTCAAACATAAGCCTCCCAAACCAATCAGCCGAGCCAGTTGATGCCAATGTGCCAAAGATTGATGGTGTGATTCTCAAGGTTTATATTTCTTTCTTTCTTTCTTCATTTCTATTTTCAAGTTGAGCTGATGTACAAATAGCTTTGGGAGAAGAAACATGCACAGGTTGGTGGTCGAATTCTTGTGGAGGACGAAATTCTAGATGCAGTGGATCATCTACAAGAGGCTTGATATGCGTGGCTGGTGAGAATCTCTTCCTGGACACTCTCTTGTGTTAATAAATTCGATGCTGACTCAAATTGCTCTATTCTACTCTCAGAGAATGCAGGCTATTCATTGGGGCTTGAACGTTGAGGTGTATAAGAACAAAACGCTCTGGAATGTTGTGGACCGTAAATTGGAGTACCTTCGGGGTAAACCTTTGCGATACCGTTATGCGTATGTAATACTTATTAATGCAACAAGCTTGATACATTCTCACTTGGCTTTATCCCCTTACAGATTCTATCTTGTGGCGCTGGACAATGATATTGACCGAATCGATGGGACAAAGAATTTTAAAGAACTGCAAACAATCACAAAGTTTGCTCCGCCAGATGAAGATCAAATCAAGGCTGTCATGGAAGAGTTGGATCAGACTTATGGAGAAAGCGATGGGCCAGATGAGGCATCGCACAAACAAATTGTGGCTTCATGAGACCAGAATTGAGGGTTTGATCCTTTGGTCTACACCATTTATCTCTCTATCTTTGTCTCATTTTGCTTCGATTGTTTCATACTTCTCTGTGAATATGTTCAGATATTTCTTTTACTTTTGCTTTATTGTTTCTGGTATCTCGTCATACAATTTTTTTATTGTGCATATTTACAGTCTCCCTGTGCATTGTTTAAATCTCGTTTTTGTATTATGATTATGTAGGATTCTGGTCCTTCAAGTCGTATCTTTTTATCATTGTTTTATCTAGCATCTTATGTAACTTTGTAGTTTCCATTGCTGCAATCAAACAACTTCACTCATACTCCCCCTGTGCCTGCGAGAAACGAGACAGATCAAAGAATTGTGGCTGGCAATCAAAACAAGCGGCAGATTTTTCCCCCCCAAAAAATCGGGTGCGCCGCTGCGGACAAGCAGCCTGTAGGCTCGAGGCAGAATTCCGGGCCTACCCCGGGGGCGATAAGCACGCTTTTGACACGCGGGTCACCAGCAACAAAAATCGGCTGGTCAGCCGGGACCTGTCACCGGGTGATCATCCGTTACGGTGACCTTGTGGTGTAGGCCTTTTGTAACCCCTGGATTCACCCGATAAACTCAGGCATTACTAAACCAATCAGGACCAGTACTCGGGTGGAGTCAGTCCTGGAGTGCAATGGCTTACTCTAGTACCATCATTCATTCCAATGATAAGAGCCCAATCAGGACCAGTACTCGGGTGGAGTCAGCCCTGGAGTGCAATGGCTTACTCTAGTACCATCATTCATTCCAATGATAAGAGCTATGATCATTGGAATGAAAAAGAATTATCATGATCCAAAGAAACAATTTCTTATGATGGAAGTCCAGCCCAATTTCATATGATGAAAGTCAAGCCCAAATATGGGGAAGCCAGTTCAATGTGAAAGATCTATCTGGTGTTGCCAACATAATTGCCTATGAAAGACCATTGTGAAGCAACCAATATGAAGTGCCCATGTATTTTGTCTTTCCAACACAAAAACTTATGATGAAAGACAAGTACATATGTGAGGAAGCCAGTTCAATGTGAAAGATGTATCTTGTGTTGCCACTTTTGTCTTTCATAGCTCTTGTCTTTCTATAAAACTTATGATGAAAGACAAGTAGATATGTGAGGAAGCCAGTTCAATGTGAAAGATGTATCTTGTGTTGCCACTTTTGTCTTTCATAGCTCTTGTCTTTCTATAAAACTTATGATGAAAGACAAGTAGATATGTGAGGAAGCCAGTTTAATTTGACCCAAACCAACCATAAATCCAGATGTGAGGCTTAGTTGGGTTGTCCATGTGCATCCCCAGCTAGTGCTAGACTACAAGGTGCACTGTTGAAGGCACCTTTGGGGTCATGGCTTTCACCACAGGTGCCCAATGGTGAAATGGATGGCGCCAAACTATTTTCAGAGGTTGATTACTCAATATCAAGCAAGATATTGTGTTACTAATCTGGTCAGGCACATAAAGTACTTGTGATGTGAGGCTTTTACACACTAAATAGTGAGATTTCAAGGTATCCTGACCAAAAAAACAATTTTTTTGCGGCCCAATCAAAGGATGATTCTATACAATCATGAAACAACTTTCGCAGTCTGTTCAAAACAAAAACCCAAAATGTTTTATTTGAAGACCACACCTCCAAAAACAGGCTCAAAGTTGACAAAAACAGTGTTAAGTGCAAGATGGATTGACTTCACGGTGGATAAAAGTTGAATATTATGAAGCCCCATACTATCCATCTTCCATACAGCTTTAACTTTTGATTCATCTCAAAAACTCAAAAAGTTTGATTGGTAGCACAGGTTTCCGTAGGAAGCATGCTACTGCCTTACAGAGGTGACTAATTGCCCCACAAGTGCAAGACACATTGACTTCATGGTGTCCAACATATGAATATATCAAAGCCCGCCCCATACATCAATTATCACATGCAGCATCAACTTTTGGTTTACCACCCAAACTCAAACAGTCTGATTGGTAGCACAGGTCCACTTCATAAGCATACTACGGGGTCAGAGCAAGGTCCTGATTTGCCACCAGACACAAACAACATCACAGTGTGCCTAACTCTTTGAATCCAATTTTTTCATCTATTATTCTCCATTTTAACTATATTCAGGTAGCTCCCATTCTTAATCAGAATATATGCACTCAAACTCCCAGTTAGCCATGTTTACCCCTCAAAGAACCTCCTTTTAGCGCTATGTAGCCATCACAGCATATTATTTATACTCTAGAGCCTGTTGATGGTATTGAGCATACCAGATCATTTATACTCTACAGCCTGTTTGATGGTATTGAGTTATATAGAGCAATCCTGTTATTATTATTATACCTACATATGATTTTTGAGTGGTGAGTACATATTTTATACTTGTTGATTCCAGCACCTTCCACGTGTAGCATGGATTTATGGAGGTTTGGATACTTGTTGATTCCAGCACCTTCCACGTGTAGCATGGATTTATGGAGGTTTGGAGAGAGGGCACTGACTTTGCGTCACACCAACTCCACAGTTATCTCCTCGATTTCTGTCATTCTAATCATCTTTATCCCCTCCATTCTACAATCATAAAATCCAATCATAAAATCTATAATCACCTTCCTACATTACCTTGCTTAACCACCTGCAGTCTTGATGGTTTCCACTCGTCGTAATCCGGTTTCTGATGGTGCAAGTCATTCAACTGGTGTACTGACTCAGTCAAAATCCAATGCGAAGACGAAGAGGTCAAAATCAAAGAAGAAGACGAAAACGAAGAATGGTGATGGTCAGAACGTTACTGAAGGTGATGATCAAAACATCATCCCAGATCGCCAAACTGAAGAAGAAGACCAGGGTCAAACAATCACTCAAAACAAATCCTCTCAACCCAGCATCTTCCGATCTCGCTTTCCTGGACTAGAGATGGAAACCTTCGAGGACCATCTGGATGATTGGACTCTTGTTGAACTTCGACAACATATTGCTAAACAAGGATCAAAGTCAAGTAGACCTCATCAGGAGATTAGGACTTTGGTGAAGAGTATTTGCTTGGAATACGAGAAGAGAATGCTGATGGCAGCCTTGATGGGTGGAGTGCCAGAAATTGTGATCTGGAATCTTGTGTAAGTTATTGTCCCATCTGTTGATTGAATAAAATTCACTGTATGTAGTGTGCTTAAACGCCCGTATACATGTCAACCTATAGGGGAGAAGGAGCGAGGAAGGGGCATGCAAATCCCTGGATTCGATTTTTAGCTTTTTGTCCACTGGCGCTTGCTGAAACATGTATGTATTTTCCTTTGTGTTGAACTGATTTCCTGTTGTTGAGGATAAGTTCTTTCCACAGTACCAGAGTCAGGCGACTCAGAGGGATGGGCGGAACGAAACCGGAAGGTGTCAAAAATTTGGAAGAAGCTGAACAAAGATCAGAAAGACGTCTTTTGAGACCCTTTCTTCTTTGCATTGGCCGACCTTCCAAATCTCTCCAACGTACCCTTTGATGGAGACGAATCAACGGAATTGGAAGACAAAGATGAAATCAATCTCCAACACCTCGATGAGTCGACTGCAGCTCCTCAAGTTCACAAACTCACTACTGAACAGCGACAAAAATATCAGCCGTTATTCGATGAGCTAGTTGACATTGAAAAACTTCATTTATGTCATGGAAAACCAAGCCCTACAAGCTCAGTCGCCACTGTACAAAAGAAGTCTTTAGTTGAGCTGCGAAAAGCTCACCATGCGGTAAGCCAACTAGTTCCATATAATTTGATTACACGACATGTAAAATGTTCCTGGCTACTGATTCTTCCTATCACTCCTTGTTAACATCTTCATTCAGTTTGCTGTAGTATGCCAGCGATTCCAGATCACTTATTACTTGGCAGGTGTCAGCTGTGGGAGTACCGAAGGATGGTCACAGGTTTTCTCAAATAACACGTTGTTTGCTTCCTGGGCATCAAAAGACGCCTTGAGAGAACCACAAGGCACGCCGTGGTTCTTAAGCCCACGGTGCCTTAGCGGAGGTGGAAAGCGTGCACCACCACGTGCACGACTCTGTGTGCATCAAGTTGTAATTCTGGAAAGTGAAATTCCAAATCTCACAACTTGAAGACTTTTTTCACCTCGCAAGGCATCGTCAAAATTTATATCTTATCATCTTCATTTCGATAAATATCAATCAACCAATTTTCGAACTTATTCGAAAATAAAATTTTTCAATAACAAAACAAAATGGAGGCAAGATTAGCACAAGTCGAAGCTAGAATAACACGAGCCGTTTCAACAGCAACTGGAGTTGAACCAGGACCAAGCTTAGAACAACCAAAGAGATCGTACAAGAAAAAAGGAAGAAATGAAGACATCCCGGAAGAGGAAGAAGAGGAACAAGAAGATGAGTTGGAGATAACTGGCGGAAATGTGGACGGAGAAGAAATACAACCAGAGGTACTGAACGGGAAACAGAGGAGAGGTTCATCTGACACGGAACTAGATGGATCCTGGAGACCTTCTCCCCCAAAGGACAAGGGTAAAGGGAAAAGGCCACGAGAACAGACATTGTCAGACGACGGCCTAGATGGGGAAGACATTTCGTCACTGGGTTAGTGCTTTTCTACAACTCTCTTTAAAACTCATATCTGGCTTTTCTCTATCACTAGTTATCCTTCCACATACCATCCTTGACACGCGACGTATAAAAGTAACGCACCCGGTTACGAAGTAACACGTGAGGTGAAGGCTAGGTTGTATCCTATGTGGCCTGGACGTAAGCGCATTTTAATATGGCTTGTCTCGAACCCTTATCCTAGGCCATCCTATAAAGGGGCAAGAATGGAAGGAAGAGCCCCCCTGGCTGCAAACAAGGAGAGGCGTGGTCATGCTCTAGATGAGATGATGCCTTCGAGAAACTGGGATCAGAAATTGATACGAATCTAGACAACAAAAAGAGAGTGGAAGACGGAAACTCATACCCCGGTCTCTCCAATGTCCTACAACAGCAGAAGGGGATAGAGCCATTATCATGCAAGCGCGAATCGATGATTTGTACTCGAGCGGGAATGCAGTTGATAGAGCAGCCGGTGCGAGCTTGCTAGCGGAATTCATGCAATCTTTAACGCAAAATACACCTTCGGAAAGAGGGCAAGGTCAAAATGACTTACCGCACCCGAGTCTCCAGAACGCTGTCCAAGGTCCAAGCCGCCTCCCAGACACAAGACGAATAGCTCCACTGCCGACTCGAAAACAACAACTGCCACCTCAGCAAGAGAGTAGACAGGAAGATGTACATCGACCTGGACATGAAGTCCAAAACCCTAGAGGTCGCACACCGGTTGTTGAAGAGGCGAGGCGACAAATACGAGAACCAAGACGAGATCCGTCACAAGAATCGTCACCGTCGAGAGGAAAACGGTCACCATCACCCCGGCGACACGCATCGTACCGTCGTGGAAGATCACCAACACGCAGACGCCGTTCATCGTCAAGGGAGAGAGAAGAAGATCGCCGAAGACCCTCCTCAACCGGTAGAGCAAGGAATGACGCGATCCAACAGCGTAGATCAATAGCCCCGTACCGCCTAATCGAGGAAGAACTGACAGAGTTATCCTCGGAAGAAGAGGAACAAAGAAAGCGGGCACCATCCATACAGCTTCGTAACACGACGAGACAACACAACACCGACACGCAAGATCATGTCAGCACAACAGTCACGACAAACTCAGCAGAAGAAGAAGAACTCGCAAAAACACTCCTAGAGTCGGGGAAAGGCAGGATGGTTTTGTCTAATGGAGATGTAATAGAGAACGGCAGAAGAATTCTAAACGACGATTCAGTCCAGATGACAAAAGGACTCACACAACTGTCGCCAACACTCCAAACGTATATGCGGACGTTTAAAGCCTATATTTCCTTAGCAGTCTTCGACAAATTCTTTCTGATTCAGGACCACCAAGCATGGAGTACGAGGAAGGGGTTATCTGAAACAAAAATTTTGGAAGGAGGTGCAGGCGTAAAGATCTACAGCGGAGACCCACCAATGGACGAACTTACGATGCAGTTTGAACAATGGCTAGATGCAATCTCTTTATTCATCAAATACGTGAGACAAGAAGGTTGGCAAACTCAAGCGGAACGTTTCGAGAAGCACAGGCAACTAGTAATTGACTTAAGAGAAGAGTCCGGATGGATGGTCGCGCTACGCTACTGTCGTAGAATTTGCCAAGGAGTCATGCGAACGACGGTTGACAAGAACATTTGCAACATCTCGAAAATTCAGACAGCGATCCTGCATGAAGTAAAAGCCACATGCAAAAACTACAATGAGCGAGCTTACCTGACGAATCCGTACGCTCCAGGCGGCCCAAGAGAGAACATAAACCCCGAGACCGGCCTCCCAAAGACGACGTCTTCTACGAGAACAACCTTGACAGGCATCGGGAATTCAAAAACAGATCCAACTTACCTGAGAAAGGAAGGATGGTTACCCCCTTTGGAATACAAAGCGAAGAAAGCAGCTGAAAAAGCGAAAAGGGATGCAGCTTACAGATCTAAGAAGGACTATACCAGAGGTCGGTACGAAGATCGTCGGTACGAAGAGAGAAGAGATCGTGACAAGAGCCAAGAGAAAGGCAGAGGGTACGGAAGTTACCAAAGAGGGAAAAGCCGTAGCCGTAGTAGAGACGGTGCACGTGGTGCAAAGTACGGAAGATACCAAAAGAGGAGTTAGTGAGTTGAAGACCAACTTCATTGAAATGCAATGACATGATCCAAAGACTCAGAATACGAGTGAACCCATGTGAGAGTTTAGGAAGATCCTGACCTGAGAACCCACTATGTTTTTCTTTCCAACCCTCTTCTTTGACCCTCAAATTGCCAAAAAGCCTCCCATCCAAGTTCAACCCGAATACTAGCCCAGTATCATGCCTAAGAACGAGTCCACCAGAATTTGAGTCTAGAGGTAGAGATACAAACGGGAGGTGGCCAACAAGGGTGAAGTGCGAGATGAACCTCCGAGTATGGGAGAGAGAGCTGAGAAGGAATAACTTGCTGGAAGAAAAACGCCACATCTTAAAAGGCTTCCTGGAGGGTTTTTGATCAGGGTATACCAGAAATCCACTTACCGGAAAATGCTTGTACTACTGCCCACCAAACCATTCTTCAGCCCTACAGGCAAAGAAAAGAAATAGAGGAAAATTTGTCTAAAGAAATAGAATCAGGGCGTATGTATGGGCCCGTTTTACGAAAGAAGAAGCATTCAATAGACTCGGCTTTTTTCGCACAAATCCTTTAGGGGCGGTCACCAACAGCGACGGTTCGTTGAGACCGATAAACGACTTATCATTCCCAAGAAGAGAACCAACTATCAATTCCGTAAACGCAATGGTAGATAAGGACGACTTCATTACCTCATGGGACGACTTCGATAAAGTCGTAAAGTTCTTGCTATCAATTGATTACCCCGTACTACTCGGCATATATGATTGGGCAAAAGCCTATCGCCAAATACCAACGAAGCCAGGCCAATGGCCTTACCTAATGATTTTAACATTCAATGATAAAGTATTACTCGACACCCGGATCACCTTCGGAGGTGTGGCGGGATGCGGTTCCTTTGGCCAAGCAGCAGATACGTGGAAAATTATAGTCCAGAAGAAATTCGGTTTCGTAAAAGCTTTCCGGTGGGTAGACGACACGTTATTCATGAAACCGGACGACAGTTCGAATAAATTTAAGATGACAGACGTGGTTGAGTTAAGTGATGAATTAGGCGTGATAACAAACCCCACGAAGTGGAAGGAATTCGCGTACGTACAGAAATACCTAGGTATGGTGTGGGATGGCAAGAACAAAACAGTAGGCTTGCAAGATGAGAAGAGACTCCTACGACTGTCGCAGATTGCGGAGTTTAGAAACCTAAGACGAGCGAACCACAAACAGGTAGAAAAACTAGCAGGGAGGCTAGCACACGCGTCACTAATTTATCCACAATTGAAATGTCACTGCGTAGCCCTATACCATTGGATGGCACAATGGGTGCACAAATTAGCGCTACGAGACATACCAGAAGAAGTGTTAGAAGACCTAGACACCTGGACGAGGGTGTTATCGACAGCTAACCCAAGGAGACTGATTCCGAGTCCAGGAGTAAGGAATGTGGCGTGGGTAGGCGATGCATCGACATTGTATGGAATTGGCATCGTAATAGGTCGCAGGTGGGCGAGGTTCAGACTGCGTCGAGGATGGAATGAGGTTGGTTG